TAGGACAACTTATGTCCTATAAAACAAAGTATCTCATAAGTGAGTTTCAGTTGACACTGGTAGGGGTTTAGTTGCCCATCTCTGTTAGGGCAAAACAAATCAAGCAAAATGGATACCTCACTTGCTCAACAACTCCTTAAACATATTGGAAACTTCTATGCATGATGCCCTCTCATAATCATTCTTGATGAAGGCTAATTGTGCCAATCTTAAACTGATGAATTCTTGAAGAAAGGAATTTCCAGAGGTATCACAGGTACCACCCTCCTATCACTGCTGTGAAACAGGTGATGGTGCTCTTATAGATGGATAATTTATTTATCAAAAAGATGGGCACCTGAAATGAGCACATCAGTGGGCACCTGAAGAATACAAATTTGATCATGACCAAAAAAAATTCACTTGTTGAGTTACAGCCCATCTAAATGGTCCACTTATGAAATGTTAAAAAATACGAAAAGCAAGTAACTACAACTAGTCGATTTAAAGCCAGCAATACTAGAATAATTAAAAGATCTTTCTAAGCTGTGCTACTGGAACAGGCAAAACCACTGTAATCAACTTCTCTGGAGAAGCAATCAGACAATAAAAACAGAGGCATTTTAGGGACTAATAAAGCTGTTGAGTTTAATGACTGTAATAAATCCTTAGCAGCAATTACTCCAGGAACAATTTCCATTGCAGTAAAAACTGTTCTACGGGGTCTTCCTTCTGAAATTACTTTTTTTTATTAGATGTTGTTCATAAGAAACAATTACAGAATCATAATTTTATTTGTGGCAAGTATTTCCATAATTCATCTCTCCTTTGAGAGATGAGTTTTGGCTTCATTCAAATACTAGAATTAGGCAACTATTATATAAAACCAGAGATGAATTTCCTGATTGATTTTCTGTACAAAAGTAGATACTAATAATCTTGCACTGCATACATTTGGTTCAGCACAGTGTGATGCAACATTTTTGGACTTTGAGATCTGTAGAACTTTTAGGAAGTAAAACATTGATCATTTGGTCCACAGCTCGCATTTGATGCAGTCTTGAATTATATAGCCAAATAAGTAAATTAATTAAGATTTTGTATGGCTGCAGTTCAGCTCACCTTGCTGAGGTGACCATACTTGAGGTAAGCTAAGTGTGTGAGCTCATTCTACAGTGAATGCAGCTAAGCAAGGTTTTATTGAGATTCACGGCACACTTTTGCAAACATCTACATTCAGCCAGAGGAATAGCATTTTAAAGTCCACAGATTATATATCTTGATTAAATACAAGCATACAAAATTAAAAGTTTTGAAAAGTAAAAACTAATATTGTAATTACCTATGATGATGTTCAGTGTGTGAAAGAAATACTTCAACAGCAGAAAATGATCTTTCCAGTTTTTATGCCTTTTCTTCAGTAGTATCAATGAATGTTCAATACATGACAATACAAACCAAAGTACAAAACAGAAGCTCCCTTATCAAAAATTAATTTTTACTATCCTAGATGTTCACAAAACAAGTAATAGAGCTCATACCGAATGAGGCCTTATGGATGTTGTGTAAGTGCTCTGGATCATACTATCAGTGAAATAACTGAATGGATTGATACATCTTCAACTCTCAATTCTCTCCAAGTACTTTAAGTATTAGTCTGACCACCTCCTTGTGAATAAGGCAGACAACCCTTCTCAATTACGTTGGGCAAAGCAAACCTGAAGTATTAGTACACTATGTAACATTTTATTTTGATTCTTCAGAGGAATATCTATGAAGTCAATATACAGATTCAAAGTAGATTATAAATTATAAAATTATAAAGTAGTTTATAGATTCTAGAATTCATAGTAGATATTCTGATATTCTGCTGCGAAGTAGCCTAGAATTAAATTTCATCTACTTCACCTTCTAAGATTAGCAATATAGAATTCCTTGGACAATGGAAAAGAAAGTCATAATGAGCTAATGACAAAAAGATCTCTGGTCATTGTTTATCTTGAGGGGCAGCATGTGAGAAAGATCATTAAAGATTGCAACCTGTTTCAAGTTGTCATGACTCTGTAAAGGAACCCTACAATTTCTGTAGCTTAATAACTTTTGCAACTACGTTTGGTCTGGTTTGGTCTGATGATACCAACTCACACACCTCATCTACCTATTTAAAACAAAGACGAAGAAGAAAGAAGTTTAGAAATCCCCAGGAATTTAGCAAGGGTGCTGTGCATGCTAACACTGTACAAAGGGACATATCAAGGATTTTAAGTGAGCAGGCAAACTGAAGCAGCTATAAAGGCATAAAAAGTGACAGCTGATAAGAGTTGAAACAACTTGCTAGAGCTGCTATTATCTCCCACTAATATATTAGTGAAAACCCCAAAACAAAAGCCAACAAGATACAAATAAGCAATTTATTCATCTACCTCATTTTTTTTACATCTGCTTGTGTTTTTCAGAGAGACTGGGAATGACGGTGAAGAAATTGAAGTACAATATGTAGCGCCTCTAAACATAAATTTAAATTATATATATAAAAAAAGATTAATTAGAAATACTGTTGAGAAGACAGTAAAGACTTTTAAAAAAAGTAGTGAATGATCAAATCTTTTTAATAACTATCTTTGTATCCTGTCAAACACCAGTTGAAAGGGTTTGCCCAGAATGCTTTTTTTTTTCCATATCTAGTGTATCAATCAACATGAAAAAAAAAATTAATATAGCACCTTATCGAACATAAATCCTATTATAACAGAAATGCAATATCATTAACCCCTTGAAAGACCAGATTGATATATTCTGAAACATATTAATATTCTAGAAGCTGTTATTGTGGAAGCTAGCATTTGATGTTCCTCTTCTTCTGAATATTAGTTTTCTGAATATGAACATTCAGTTGAACTTTCAGTAAAACTTCTAATATATTCGATAAAGTATCATTAAGCGATTATTACAAATTATTGCAAGTTATAAAGTTTTTAAAACATTAGGCTAACAACGAACAATGAAGACTGTGGAAGTAAAAACTGTTAATCTGTTTTAAGTTAAAACTGCTGTAAGATCCACTCTGAAAGCAGTGAATACTTTCAGCCACAGAAAGTCTTTTAGTCTTTATAAATCCAAATAATTGAAAACAATTACATTAGCTATATTTAATACTTAACTATTAATATTTAAAACCTAAGTAGAACAGTTTGAAAGCCCTATAGACTATATATAAATGCAAATATAGAAAACCAAATCTAGTACGACCACAAAATATTTCATGCCAAATATTCTGATCTAAAAAACACAAACAACAGCTACACAGGAGAACTGGAAGGGTATGACTAAAGAAGCCAAAAGAGCAGCAGCTGGCAGTAGGATTCCTGACTGCCTTTTTTTTCCAGATAGAAGTAGTGAAGAATCTTTCTCTGGCAGATATATTCTGTAGGCCATGCCTGAGCCCAGGACCCAAGGCTTTTACAAAACATTAGGCAAAATTACACAGCTAGGGGCAGATAAAAATGTGATCTAGGTGACAGGGATTGTGCAAACTTCCTGCAGCAAGAGGGAATGCAAACGGCCAACCTCAGTGAGAGTGTGGGAAGCAGAGATTTGAAACCCCTTTAGTACTTCTCACTTTTCCACCAAATCTGCCACTCTACTTTTTCCCCCAAACCTAAACTAGTCAGAAACTCTTGCAGAACAAACACAGAGTTGAAGCAGGCTGATTTTAGGTGCCATCTGGTGTGTTTCTAATGTACCTACCGGTTTTCCACGATGGCATGTGCTGCTATGTGAAAGGATGGACCTATCTTCAGCACAGCTGCCTCTGCCTAGAGCCACACACTAGCTCAAGGTCAGAATTAACAACAGTGAAGGCGATGTGACAATATATGTACACTATTAAGCACTGTCATCCATATGTGGCTTCCACTTATTTGAGACAAGCTTCACTAAGGCAGGCAGGGTGCCCAGATACAAACCCAGATACTGCAGTACCAATCTGGGTGTTTGGGCCCTGGCAGCTCAGCTTGCTTCCCATCCAGGTCTTTGAACTGTGCGGTGATGCTATGATCTCTGTAACATTAAAATAGGAGCAGAATACTGACAAATCTACCCGGAGAAAACACATAAATCTGATGTCTCCTAGTGATGCAGCCTCAAGGCTCAATCTTTAAAATAAGAATTKCAAGCACTACACCCCTGCTATGCCAACTGTCATATAAACACTGCACGAAGGGATGTACCCTTGCACTGCCTTGTAGATTTACTCAAAGCATAGAATCATAGAAGCCTTAAGGTTGGAAGGGACCTTGGGAGATCATCTAGTCCAACTCCGCTGCACACGCAGGGTCACCTAAAGCATGTGGCACAGGGCTGTGTCCAAGGAGGTATTGAAGATCTCCAGAAGAGACTTCACAGCCTCTCTTGGCAACCTGTTCCTCACTGTTAAGTAATTTTTCATTAAGTTCCCGTAGAATTTTCAGTGCTCAAATGCTTCTAAAGAATAGGCCGTACCTTTACAAACAGTCCCATGGAACCAAAACATAAAAATTTCTGCTTGGGAGATTGCAGTCAGAAATCTTGCACAGATATACATACAGTACATCTCAAAGAAAGAAGGGTAAACACCACCAAAAGGCAGCTCCCTGAGAACATATAATCACAAAAGCTGCTCTGTGAGGCTCTGCTGCTGAACCTCCTTATACACACAAAAATGCTGCAGGCTGAAACAGCAGATTTCAACAGGAGCCTTCTGAAGGCCCCCTCCCTGTCATAAGGGGTTACTGATATTTAATTACTGAAATCTGTGGCCATCTAAAGGGAAAATCAGTATTTTCAGCTTCAGAATTGACTGCATGTTTGTTTACTTAAAAAACACATCAAAGGCACGTCATATGGTTGTTCAAATCCAGTTCATCTGCGTAACACATTCAGGAACAAAGTATCAAAACAATTTAATCTAATTTAAATCAGTTCTTCCAGAGAGTTAATTTTGAATTTCTGCAAAGTAGTTTTTTTAAATGCAACAGACTTACCTTTATCTTTTATTTCTTGTTCAGTTTCTTTTTCACTTTTTCCTGGAATATTAAAAATATAATTTCAATAAAATGAATTTATGTTAATATTAGGCTATGATCAAGAGTTAAAATAAAAAGAGTTGTAAAACATTTTCATAAATAAATTGGCTTGCTCTCTCCTGTTTTTCTCCCCTCTCCGCAGTTCCTGAAGCTGCCCCACTCCATAACATTCTGAGGATCTTGCCTCATCATTCTAACATTGTCATTTTCTTTCCCATTTCCTTCCTCCAAAACTTTCAATATTTATTTCCAAAATACTTCTTAGAGAATACTAACAGAAAGGCCAATTGGCGTTAAGTACACACATACACACACACACACACACACACACACAACTGCATGGCATAAAATAATTTCACCCCTTATCACCAGCTGACAGCTGGCACTCCTGAACATATTGGTAATATATCTCAGATTCTTACATTCCACCCAAGGCAAAGTGAATACTAACTATGACAAGGTAAAGTTAAATAAATATGGTAGCAGTGAAAGTCATTCATCTCTTGAATCACATCATAAAATCCTGACATTGTCAAGTCAAGAAATGAAAAATGTTTTGGGTTTTTTTTGCACATACAGCACAATAAATAAATATATGGTTGAGCCTATATGTCAGGGTATTCACAGATTATTTTTTTTATTTCTAAAAGAGCAAGCACACAGACCCAGAGAAGACACAAAAGGTCTACACTATCCTATTTCTATTATATTTTTCTATGATATTTTTATTCATGTTGTTTAAATTATGTACTGCTATATAGTAAAAATTCACTCTGTCTCAAAGCACACAAATAATTGCAGGATAATAAACCACGCTACAGCACACTAATTAACCACCCATTTCTTCTGTATTTTTTCCCTATTGCCAAAAGCGATGTTCTCACCTGACACCAGCTCTCTAGTTCTGTCCATGTCACTCAGTGATCCTCTTCCGACCTCTTCCTCCTCCCCTTATTTTTAACCCAAGCTTCTCCTCAGAAGCTGTCCAGCTTCCCATTTCTATACTAGTGAGTCTCGTACAGCGTTATACCTACGGCTATCTGTACCTACTTCTGCTCCAAGCATCATTTTTTTTCAGATTTTCCTAGACTTTTATTAAATCTGTATTTTGACAAATTAAGTATCACTGGTTTCACCAAAGCTTCTCCCATCATTTTACTTAATACAAGTTCACCTTCCTTGTAATTGCTTTGAAAGTTATGGAAGTTTGATCTTGTTAGCTCTAGGAGATTTTTTTTTTTTTTTTTTTCTCCTGGCTCTCACCAATCATATCTAAGAATTCTTTCCAACATCATATTCAGTATATATTGTTCTGTGCTCTCAAACTATTTCTAGCTAGCACTGGTAGTGGAAATGCTTTGTGGTTATTTTTGAGAAAGATGTAAAAATACGATCTGTCTCAAAGGCAGAGATATAATATGCTAAATCTTCTCGAGTTTGTTCCATCACCAAACAAAATCATTATTTTCAGACCTTCTTTCCATTCCCATTTTTCCTCAATTTCTCCACTTCCTTCTGAAACATTAAGTGCTTGCAAAATTATGTGTAAGACTTCTTTAATGTGTTTCTCTAGATTTGTTTTCTATCACTGTGCAATGTTTGCATTAGATGCTGCCAAAGTGAATAGATTTCTCTATAAATAAAAAATCTATTTTTCATGTTTCCACCGTTTTCAGTGGTGGCCAGTGATAGGACAAGAAGAAACGGGCACAAACTGAAGCACCAAAAGTTCGACTGGAACTTAAGGAAAAAATTGTTGACAGTGAGGGTGACAGAGCCCTGGAACAGGCTGCCCAGAGAGGTTGTGGATTCTCCTTCTCTGGAGGTCTTCAAAACCCACTTGGATGTGCCACATGCTCTAGGTGACCCTGCATGTGCAGGGGCGTTGGACTAGATGACCTCTGAAGGTCCCTTCCAGCCTTAAGGATTCTATGATTCCATGTTAAAATAAATCTAAACTTTTGTTAGTGAAATATTCTGCATGATAACGAGTGAACTCAAGTCAATATAAAAGTTCCCTACAGATTTTACATGTAATGCAATCAATATAGTAAAGGTGCAAGACAATTTATATTCTTCATATATATATGCTTTCAAACACAAATTGCGTAACATCACATTTACGAAATACATATTTTTCAATATCTTGTCTTTTATTCTTTCCTTCTTAAAAATAATTATGCCATAACATGACGTTTTCAGTTGCCGAGAATGTGAAGAAGTCCCTTAATACTGTAGCAAATTCTCAATGTTAAAATAATCCATTCAAATTTTGATTTCCCTCATTGACATTTTTACTAACATTTCCAGAAAAGTATCTGAACCAAACATCTCATTGATCCGCTGAGAAATAGCAAAAAGCAATGTAGCAATGTGAAAATACAGAGAATGATGTACTTGTTTTTTGGACATTTTTGGACTTTTGTTCAGCTATTTCCACATTAGAATACAGAGTTGTTTAAAAACTGAAGGGGTCAAAGATTMATTTTTTCTTTTGAAACAACTAACTGCACAGACAAAACATCCTGCTTAGTCCAGATTATTAGAAGACAAAGTTAGTTTTGGTGGACTATGGACCATTCAGTAGACTATTTCTCTATGAAAGATAGAGATCATATTTCCTCTACACATTTACCTTTGTTAGTGAGTGAAATCTCATCCATTCTAAGTTAAAAAAAAGTGAAACTATAAAAGTCAGGCCAAAATAGTTGCAGAATAGTCAATAATTCAAAAAGAGAAACACAGCACAATTATAGAAGACCATGGTCTTAGAGTAGTGCTCGTTTCCTTTACATACTACCTCACAGAAATAAGAAGCACGTATGCTTGCTTGCTAGATTTCTTCCTCATGGYATATTGCATTTTCGTATACATAAATATATGTATATATACATATATTTATGTATAAGATATATTATGTTATGCTTATTTGAAAAATACTAACATTAATTAGCAGTAAGGTAAATATTTACCTCCATAGCTAAAATATATTTAGTCAAAAACAACACTAGAAACATAAATATATTCTTCTGTGTTTTATTGCAGCCAAACATTAAAACAGATTAAGTATACATTTTTTTTTTTTATAGTCCTCTTGACCTTGCCCAGGTTGGCGTATTCTTGTAAACATGAAGCACATAAAATCACATACCCAATAACAAGTGTTGAAAATTTGATCACAGCATAATAAACTCTCACAGTCCCATAATCCTACAAATAGGCTGCCGTTATTATATAAAAAAATTCTCCATTCACCAGTCTAAAATTATTCTCAAGCTTCCACAGAAAATATGGCTTTGTAGAAATTATTGCTCTGCAATTCACAATCACAGGTAATTTTACCCTAGTAAGAACATCCTGTCCCAAACCACATCACAGTCTAAGAGTATTATTGCTTTCCTAAAACATCACCCAAAAAACTCTGGAATATCTTCTCTGTTTGCTATTCACTTTTAACACTCACTTACGTGGACTCTTACAGAAGTCCCCACCCCCAAAATAAGCATATATTATGTCCTTTTCACTACACATGTAAGCATGTAAAATCTTCAAAAAAAGTTACAGATTTTTATTTCTTAAATCTCCCTGTCAACTGAAAGACAACCACTTTTAGGGTTACAATATTAAATCTTCTTTTTAAAATTCAGCTTGCTTACTTTCTTCTAATTTCCCACTTCAGACTTGGTAATATCTAAAAATCACAGCAATTATTCCTGAGCCAAGAAGGAACATATAAAAAATGCCAAAGAATAAAATGTGTCTCTATAATTGTGGAATAGCAGCATGCAATAAGTAAACACCTGTTATATTCAAATTCTAAATTACTCATAGTCTAATTTCAGAAATGTACCATTTATAAGAGCATTAACAATTACATGTCAAATTTTGACATCCTATTTTTCCAAGGTTAAAATTGCAAAACTGATTTTTTTTTTCATTTTATTCAAATGTCCAGCATTTATGCAAATTTGACTTTATCAATAGCTCAGAGAATCCAGCTTCCTGAATCCAGCTGTGGTACCATTGATTTTTTGGTCAAAATTCAAGAATTCTACAAACTCAACTTGATTCAAACTACTCAGCTGTGTTTCAATCTACACTGACTCCTTGTCAGAYCATTATCTAGTTTCAAGACTTATATTTGCTTTAAAATCAAATGTGCATAAAAAGCTGTAATTCAAACATAAAAGGTTTGTGAAAAAATGTAATTTAGTAATCCGCCATTTTACCACTATGAATTAAACATAAACATTTTGTAAATTGTTAGACTACTTCTAAATGACCAGAAATTGATGCAGTCTRACTGTTGACATAACATCAGTGCAAAGAGATACAAGTCAAACTTCACAGCTCAGTATGTGTCTGATTAGTGTTTCCAATAAAATGCATTTAGGCTGTATGCTATATCAGCAGTTAAAAAACATGTAAAAAATCCTAATATTACACGCTTCATTTGACCAAACTGCTCTGTACATACTATATGAATCCACAACAAAAGATATATATTAAAATCTGAAAAAATGTACTTGCTGCTACTTTATAAATAGAATATTAACAAATTGCTTGAACAGTACGTATAAAATGCAGATCAAATTCACAACCCTGTCACAAACACAGAAGAAAAATAAAACTAGTGAATTCACTGAACTTGACAAAAAAAAAAATCAGACACGAATGTAAATTAAACAGCCAATTTTTTTTCTTGTGTTTAAAAAAGCGTACTAAAATAACAGTTGGCTATAACCCATTTACAATATCTTAGTGTTCACTTCCCAAACCCTGAACTGCTCAGTAATTACATCGTGAGGTCTATTACAACCATCTGCTCCCCTTTTGTAGCGTATGGTTAGGGCTGGTCCTCCTGATGTAGGGACTTTTCTTTTGAAGCTTTAAGTATCTGAAAAAATAAGGGGAAATCTATATTAAAGGACCAACCATAACACACCTTACTTCAAAAAAAAAAATCACCTTAAATGTGAAAAAATGCAACTTTGTAGCAGACTAGTTGATATGAGAAAGTTGTTATTTCTAGGAGCCATCATACCTAATGAAGATACACAAAGTTGCTGTAGAAGGTAGGAAATAAGAACCTTTAAATATCTATCCAAACAATTTTATTCATTTATTTATTTTATGAGCATATGGCATTTCATTTAACTGGCAAAGATTATTTGGGTTTTTTTTTTTTTTTTTTTTTGTATGCTTATTTGTTTTGTTTTGTTTGTTTGTTTTTTTAAGCCAAGGACAGGAAAATGGAGAAGGGGGAGCTAGGAATGAAGAAGAGTCTAACTTGGGACGTAGAAACTTCTCTACACATAGAAGATTTCAGCAGCTGGTAAAATGAATGTTGGCTTGTAACAATGTCAGTATGCTAGACGAAATGGGGGAAAAATAACTATTTTAGCTTTGAAAAAAATGAAAGAATGATCCAMATCTAACTGCAGAGAACAAAGATAGCTCAAAAAAATCAAATGCACCTCCCCTCAGATATGTTTGTAACTAGTATTATACTGTCAAAATCTCTGCAAATTGCGCATTAAGGTAAAACAAGCAGAAATCCTAAGAGGAACATTTCAGGATGGCTTGTTACACCACAACTTAAGTGCAATTATTTCAAAAACTGCCAACTACTATTGCAGCTAAACTACCCTAACGGTTTATTGGTTATAAACTTAAAAGTAAGTTTAGGGAACTAAAAAACAATATACATACAGATGCTTAAAGATGCAGTTGCATGATTAAATTTTCTTCTAATATGCCCTAACATCATCAAGAAACTTTTGACTAACACTCCAAAATACTTGTATCCCATGCCAAATCTGTTTTTGATGGACATACAGAGAAGTTCCTCACAGAAGTTCCTACATTCTTCCCCAGAACCATCCCCCTGTTTCCTGCCAAAACAAGTAATTTCCTCTGTTTTAGACAAAAATCAGACAACCTGATACAAATAGGTGGCACCAYACTTCACAGTACTTCAGAATAAGGAGTCTGTAGTAACATTTCTGACTATTTGTGTAACTGTCTGATATTATTTCACAAACAGAAGAACATTTTATATAATTATATAAAGTGCATATATGCTTATAGGTGTTCTTCATTCAGAGTTCTTAATTGCCTCTAGTAATCATGATCTTAATATATKATTGTTGAATTAAGAGGGAATACTTGCAAACTTTAAGTTGCCTGAACAAAGAGAAATAAAATTCCAACAACACACCCTTCTATGAACCCTTATATGAAAGCATATTTGTAGTAAATATGAATTTTATAGGGAAAATAGCATAAGAAAATGTTTCATTTAAACATTAACTCTCATATCATAAAAGTGGAAGAAAGCATACTGAATAGTAGTGTAATTTGTAGTTTACTTAAGCTTCCATTAAATTTTCAGGGGCACTGTACTATTTCAGTCCTAAATTGTGTGCAGATAATTAACTGTTTGTAAAAATGTTACATRAATGGTTGATGAATCTTCTGCCTCCTAAGTGTTTCTTACATAACTACACAAAAAATTCAAGGCTTTTTTTTTCCCCAAAAAAGAAAATATTGACTCCTTTCACTGATACTATCGTTACTTCTTCTTTTCCCCCTCCCAAAAGAGGTACTAGAACAGAGATAACACCCCTTGAAAACTAAACTCAARACTTCATGCTTTAATAAGTGTTTTGCATTTGTTTTGAAAAGAAGTGAAGAAAAAAAAATCTTTACAGGTTTCATCTATTTCAGTACTTGGAACTTTTAGGATGATGAGAAATTTGTGAGTATCAGTTAAGCCTTATTTGGAAGACCTAGATTTTAGTTTGCTCTTGTTATTTTCATTTACTTTCWACAGTAAATTAGAAGTGTAATTTCTAATTACGTAATTGGGTAATGTAAATTATAGATATACCTTTTCTTATTCTACAATTGCAACTTGAAACAGCAAGCCAATTCACTTTTGTCTTCACTATTTTTTTGTTTATGCTGCCAAAACTACAAAACAAGTATCTMCTACTTGTTCTGATGTACTGTAAGCTTTAAATAAAATAGTTTCATTCTCATTATGAAACAAAATACTTTTAGATGAAGCATCCTCGTTAGGATAATTTTCAGCTTGAAACATTTCAATACCATGTGACCGTTGTGCTAAAAATTGTTAGAAGGACCTCATAGACATAATGTGTTAACAGAAGCCTTTTGAATCTACTCAGCTCAAATAATACACCAAATAATCTATGCCTCTAGTCTGCATTGCATAATAATACAGGTCCCCTATTTTTTTTTTCCTACTTCTCTCTACTATTGACATGTCCAAAAAATTCCATCCCTACAAGGAAAAAGTAAAAATAAAGGAAAAGAAAGCCAAACAAAACAAATAAAAAAACTGACACAGAATAACCTGGGCACGACACCACCTAACAGGCCCTGCACAGCTCAAGCACTAATACTGAAAGACACTGAAACACTCCTTAGCTTAACAGCTGTGTTACCACTGACTCAGACTAATCAGAACAAAGCAGAAACAAAAATGCATAAACTCCTGGCTCCCAGATTGCAAATTCTGTAAGCTCATTGTTAAGAGAAGCAGTTCAAAGTTGCACTGGCAACTTTGAGACTAAACCTCGAAAATCAAATCAGATGCAGCAATATGCACTAGCTTCAAACCTAGAAACTGCTTTCATTAGGTAGCTGGATACTTAGGTAGGCTGAACACTCAGAGCTAGTTTTGGTAAATACTATACTCACTACTATCTCAGACACCTGATGGATGAACTGCAAGTGGTCTGTTCTTAAAATCAGCTTTGTGAATAAAAATATTTGACAACATGAGTAAAAATTTCTAGTACCAAATCAGTGGCTAAAGAATGTGCTGCAGACTTTCACCTGTACACCCACAACCACTCACCCAGAAAGGAGGTAGGTCCATATTTTGAGATCCCTYTACAGCAAACATACTCAACTTTCTGTCTGCAATAATTTAAAATTAACTTTTAAATTAAAAATAGTCAATGTTTTATTTGGAACTGATACCAAATAACCCATTAAAATCAGTAGCATTAAGSCAGTCCAAATATTTTTTTTAGAGGGGGGAAACCAAACACTTAATATTAACTTACCCACTAGATTATCATTTGAATAATCCTCAACTTCAACAGGCAATTCTGTGAATAAAAAGTACACAATTGTTTACAACTGCAGAGCTATTAAAATGTTTACAAAAAGTTCCATTTTTCTTTATGTTGAAACCAATGATGTAGTAAGACTGGCCCCTAATATTGCTTTTGCAAAACTGAGGTAAAAAATCTTTCATCTACATTTTTCCAAGAAAAAACTTAATATTAAATTACTACAAAAATAATTTACAAGATTACGTATTTTTCCAAAACGAAAGTTTTAAAAATCTGAAAATGTACCATCACAAATCACATAYCCCATAGTTTCATACATCACTGAGAACAGAGTTTAAAAAGAGCCTATTCATTATGTTTTATCTTTAGTTTAACAATATTCTGACTTCTAAATTCAATTCTTTCTAATACAGTTTGTGTGGTTAAGTTAGTCACCAGCAAAACTCTCAAACTAATGATTACCACTACTGTGATATAAATGACTCTCCTTTCCCACTCCCAAGAAAAACAAAGTAAACCAAACCAAAACAAAAAAAGTCTTCTTTTCTTATGTACAGTCTTATGTACAAAAAAAAAAAAGAAAAAAAAATACTGCTATCAAAAAGTAGCAAATTCATGTAAATAGTACTACACAAACCTGATTCTTCAGGCTCACCGGCCACTCTATCTTCAGGAGGTTTGCTTTCTGCTGTCACAGAGAAAATTAAAGATGAAATTACATAGAGCACCACTACAATTTGGTTTTTATCTCTCTCCTGCCACCAACACCTCCCACTCTAATCAGCATCAAATAACAAAGAAAAGTTAAGAAAAAACCAACTATTTTAATTTAACAGTAAAACATATGTCACCAAGTAGCTATTATGTCCAATAGACTAGCCCTTCTTCATTATTGATTTAAATTCCTATCACTTGGGAAGTGGGTTCTATTTGTTATTTCCGGGAAACATCAATGATCACTTTCTCAATTTCTTACATTACAGCATGCTTTTCAGAYGGAAAAAATAAATGAAACAGCATCAAATTCAACCACCATCTCCCAGACAAAAGTCCCATGTAAATCACTTTGCTCCGACTGAACGGAAGTCATGTTTGAAAAAAAAAAAAAATCTTCACTGCTGCTTTGACCTCCTTGGAGCACAGCTTTGGATTACATTCGACCTGCTACTCATTTGAAATTCTCTGGAACTAAGGCAGCAAATACAAAAGTTTACAACAGCCTTCTTGAGTTGTAGTCTCGGAAATGGACACATGTTGCCCCTTCAGTTGAAGCTAGAAGGACTTCATAGAGCACATTTCTATGCATCATTGACACACACAGAAATAACCAATATGACGGGAAAAAAAAATAC